CCCCAAAACCCCAAAACCCCAAAACCCCAAAACCCCTTCTGAGTTGTTTTCAGCTGAAAATTTTATAAATAATTTAATAAAATGACTGGTAAATTTCCATCTGTCTCTAAACTGTCAAGAGTTTTAGTGAATTAAGAATTTAGATTTCGAAAGTTTCATGAAAGGGCAGAGACGGAAAGATAGAATTGTCCTCTTCAGTGAGTAAGTAGTATTGTAAACTTTAGTACCTCGGAGACCACTTCTAACTTGACCAAATAAAACTTCAAGCAAAGGAGATATATTGAGTGGGATAATAAGTCCAGTAGCTTTAAAATAAACTCAACAGATCTTATAGAAATAATTCTAATCATTCAAAAGTAAAGGGTTGCAATTAGGGTTTAGACTTCAAGCAGGAATTCTCCATTGAATAGAGTTTTAGGCCGGCTCAGCCAAAAGAGCAAGTAATTTTTATTGACTTATAGTAAGGTCAAATTCAAGAGATACAAAGTAAGTTGCTTTGTAAACTCTAGATACACCTTATTCAAAAATCTACAAACAAGCCTAAAATTTTTCCATTCACGAAAACTAAAGTTTCTAGGTGAAGCCTAGAAACATTAACAAATCAATTCAAAGTTTAAAGTATCTCCTCAAAACCTAATTATACAGAAATCCTTCTCCTTTCAAATCCAAAACTCCTCAGAATGTTCAAACACCAATCCAAACACCAGAAGTTCTTGAATCAGACCAACCTTCCCCCACACCTATCAAATTGATCATATCTCCTTTTAAAAGTACTTTAATGTCTTTAAAATCACAGAAAATGCTCAAATCACTTGTTCAACAATGGACATTCGTCCATTGTTGAAGGGCAGATTTTAGCAATAGCAATGATGATAAAGATTTTGTACAAGTAAGGGATTAAATAGCATTGGAGGGTATATTTTGAATGTCTGTACTCTGAGGTTTTTGAATTTGTATAAAAGGAGATTAGGAAGTTGAATTTTGGGTGTGAGAATTTGGATGGATTTTTAGTGTAATTTTGTGTAGAAATTTAAGAAAAATGATGTGAAATATGGGAGGCTGAATAGGAAGTTTAAAAAATTGCTAGTATTTGAAAAGAAGAAAGTAAGACATCAATGTTGAGAGTTAGAACAAAAATAAAATTGAAGATAAATCATCAAATTTCTCCAGGCTATGTAGTATTTCTAAAACTCCAGCCCAAATTAATCAAAAAGACAGTGCTCTCAAGCAGATCAATATCCAGTCTTCAAAAACAAGAAACAAGGTTGTTTTCAAACCATCACGAAAAACTATGTTCAATGTTTCTTCAAGAAAAGGCATGATTAAAAAGTATGATTTCCTCTAATATTAGAACAATGAAACTTAAATAATAGTAAAACAAGAGCAAATACTAAAATAAAAATCTTAAAGCTAGGTGTTAAAGAAAAGAAAGGACCCAAGAAACCTTCTACGTGTAAGGATCTACTTTACATTTCAGTGAAGCTGAAGCTATCGGCTCGAGAGAATTACCTACAAGCTAACCGAAATAGCCTCGTTAAAAACCGTGAAAATACTCAAAGGAAATAGAGAGTAAGATTTTAAATATTTCTGATTCTAAGGAAACCTCGTAAAGTGGTCACTAATATCTAATTTCAACCTGATATATCTAGACACAGGTAATCGCCAGGATTTACAAGTAGCCACCATTGTAAAATGGTTGTTCAAAGACTATCAGAAAAAGCAAGAGGGATTAGAAGGAACTCTGACTCCTTTGAGTTCACAGAGTAATAGTTTTATCATAACCTTAGTGCTGATTTTCAAAAATTAAACCCAACCCTATTCAAAAAGTGGAAGACCTGAATTAAAGAGAGCGAGAAGCTCAGGTCTCGGTCTCATGTAGAGCTGTAAGGCTGATCTTTAGATCTACAAATATCTATCAGGAGATTATATGAAATCTTTTACCACTGGGTAAGATCCTTGATGATACTTCTAGACTTCAATATGACGTGAAGGTAGCACACAACCAGACTAAACATGAAGCTTGATTGGACTTCTTGTCTTCAAAGTTTAGGATGTTAGAGAAAGACTTCACCAAATCAAGAGACAGACTGGGGAATGTGTCTATTGAACATTCTCATGATACGATTTAGGTATTAGTAGATGAACATTTTCAATTAGTCAGATATCTTATGGGGTTTTGGGGTTTTGGGGTTTTGGGGTTTTGGGG